CCCACTGTCCCCGAGTGCCCTTTCCCTCCTCCCCTGCCCCTGCTAAGAGTTGTCTGTTTTCCCAGATGTGCCTTTCTGCCCCTCCCCGTCCCCTGTAAGATGATTTATGAGCTCCAAATTCTATCCACCTCTTTGAGTCACACTTTTGTGAACTCCTGTGTGTATGTGATTAAAATCTATCTTTCCTCTTGCTAATCTGTCTTTTGTCAGTTTAATTTATGGGCTACCAAACACTGAACCTAAGAAGAGAGAGGGAAAGTTTTTCCTCCCCAACAAAGGCAGTATTTTTTTTTAATTGGAAAATCATCATTAAAGTGTAAAAAAAGTTTCTTAAAAAATAAAAACAAAAACAAATCCTTGCACAACTCTACTACCCTATTGCAACTACTTTCTTTTTTTTGAGACAGAGTCTCACTCTGTTGCCCGTGGTGTCAGCCTAGCTCACGGCAACCTCAAACTCCTGGGATCAAGCAATCCTATTGCCTCAGCCTCCCAAGTAGCTGGGACTACAGGCATGTGCCACCATGCCCAGCTAATTTTTTCTATATTTTTAGTTGGCCAATTAATTTCTATTTATAGTAGAGACGGGGTCTCGCTCTTGCTCAGGCTGGTTTTGAACTCTTGACCTTGAGCAATCCTCTTTGGCCTCCCAGAGTGCTAGGATTACAGGCGTCAACCACTGTGTCCGGCCCACAACTACTTTCATTCTTCATATTCCCTCCTGGTCCTCGCACAAAGACAGTGCTATGATCTGATAGTTGGCGTCCCCTCAAATGCACATGCTGGAGCCTAATACCCAACGTGATGGTATGAAGAAGTAGAGCCTTTTGGAAAGTGATTAAGTCCCCAAAGCTCTGCCCTCATGAATGAGATCAGTGCCCTACAGAGGCTAAGGAAGCTAGTGGCCTTGCCCCTTCCACCATGTGGGGGAACCGACAAGGTGCCATCTTAAAGGCAGGGCAGGCCCTCATGAGACACTCAATCTGCTGCCACCTTCATCTTGGACCTTGTAGCCTCCAGAACAGTGAGTAATAAATTTGTCGTTTATAAATTACCCAGTCTGTGGTATTTTGTTATACCAGCCTGAACAGACCAAGACAGATATTGGTACTGAGAAGTGAGGTGCTGCTGTATCAAATACCTAAAACTGCAAGCAGCTTTAGAACAGGGTAGTGGGCAGAGGCTGGAAGGCTAAAACCTGCTATACTGTCACGTACAGACCACGAGAGTGACTGTGCTGAGGCCTCTGCTATGGCCGGGTATGGTTTCTCCCCAAAACTCAAGTTAAAACTTGACCTGATGTGGTGGTGCTGGGAGGTGAGGCCTAATGGAAGGTGTCTGGGTCAGGCGGATGGATCCTTCATGAATAGATTAATGCCCTCCTGAGAGGGTGAGTGAGTTCTCACTCTCGTCACAATGGATTAGTTCCCGCCAGAGAAGGTTGTTATAAAAGCCAGTTCAGCTTCTTACACTCTTGCTTCCTCTGTCACCATATGAGCTCTTTGCACACAATCACTTGTTTTTCTGCTTCTCTGCTGTGTTTTAACCCAGCACGTGGCCCTCACCAGAAGTCAGCCAAATGTGGCAACAAGCTTTTGAACTTACCAACCTGCAGAAACATGAACTAAATACAGTAAGTCCTCACCTAAAATCATCAATAGGTTCTTGGAAACTGTGACTTCAAGTGAAACAATGTATCATAAAACCAGTTTTCCTATAGGCTAATTGATATAAACAAGAGTTGAGTTCCTATAGCCTATTTCTGGTCACAAAACGATTGTCAAACTTCTAAGTAAAGACCCAAAACGCGCTTCTATTAAACATTGAAATAAAAGTTGGCTGTATGTACATTTAAGAGACATTAATATAAATAAGAAGGATAAATATTTACCCAATTTTTGGGAAATCAGTGATTGATAGGATTCATGGTGGTAGTGGTGGGTTAAATCAAGGAATAATGTTTGCAAAAGAAAAATTTTAAGAAGTACCTCTTCCTATTACGCAGTTCATAAATAAGAACAAACATGGCAGGCTCACTGAGCTCTTTTGTACCTCTTAGTTTATGTGTATTTGTATGTTACCACACTTTATGAATTTTTATTTTGTAATAATTTGTATTCATTCATTCATTTTGCAACCTATGTTCAGGGTCTCAGATGGCCAGAGTTTATCCCAGCAACTCAGGGTACACAGTGGGAACCAACTCTGGTCAGGACACCACTCTACTGCAGGGTGCATTCACACCCAGACCTACACTCGCTCATACTTGGAAAATTTAGACTCACCAATTAACCTAAATGTGCACATCTTGGGAGGAAACCAGAGCACCCAGAGAAAGCCCACACAGGCCTGGGCAGCACGTGCAAGCTCCACACAGACAGTGGCCCCAGCTGGGAACTGATGTTTTTTTCATCAACATTATAACAAAATGAAATTGAATGAAATGACGTTATTTAAGGACCTGCTGTAAATGTCTTTCCTTTATAAACTACCAGTCTCGAGTATTATATTACAGAAACACAAAATGGACTAAGACAGGCTCAGAAGAGAAGAGCTGTAGAGAAAGCCTGAATCTTCTAACAGATTAACTAAGTAATCAGAATGTTGGTAGAAATATGGACAGTAAAGGCTTTTCTGATGAGGTTGCAAACAAATGAGCAACATGTTAATGGAAATGAGGAAAGGCTAACCTTGTTTTAAAGTGGTAAAGAACTTGACTAAATTGTGTTCATGTCCTAATGTTTTGTGAAAGGTAGAACTTAAAGGGTATTTGGAAGAAGAAATCATCAAGCAAAGTGCTGAAGGTGCAGCATGGCTTCTCTTGACTGCTTACAGTAAAATGTAAGAAAGAAACAAATTAAAGATGGAATTTATAATCAAAAAGGAAGTGGAACTTAAATATGTGGAAAGTTATCAGCCTGGCCATATTATAAAGAATACAAAAGCATGTTGAGATGAGAATGCCAAGGATTTGGCCAAGCAAATGTTTGACAAGATTAGTATGGACAGAAAGCCACCAGATGCTACTTTTGCAACCTGTTCAGGGTCTCGGATGGCCAGAGTTTATCCCAGCAACTCAGGGTACACAGTGGGAACCAACTCTGGTCAGGACACCAGAATACAAAAGCATGTTGAGATGAGAATGCCAAGGATTTGGCCAAGCAAATGTTTGACAAGAAGATTAGTATGGACAGAAAGAAGCCAGATGCTACTTATCAATATAACGGAGGAATTGGCCCTCAAAGGTATTTCTAAGATCTTTGAGGGCTGGCCCTCCCATCACAGGCCTAGAATGGCAGGGCCTTGATGGCAGAATGATTTCAGGGCTCCTTTCCTAGCATTCTGCTGCAGTGCTTCTTGGCTGCCCTAGCTGTGGCTCAGGCAGGCCAAGGTGCAGCTTGGGCAGTAAACCTACCATAGTGGTACCTGTGCATTGCCATCTCCATGGTACACACAGTGCCTGAGCTGTGGCGGTATGGCTACCTCCACCTAGACTTCAAAGGATGCCCCAAAGAGCCTCAGGGCCCAGGCAGAGAACCACCACAGGTACAGGGACACCACAGTGAGCTCCCACCAGGGCAATGCCCAGTGGAGTTGTGGAGGCAGGGCCGCACCCCAGACCCCAGACTGGTAGAGACACCAGCACGCAAGGCTAGCCTGAGAGACACATGCGTAAGACTCCAATGTGTAAGAACTACCACATGTGCTGCTCCCAGCAAAGCCATGGGAGTAGGGCTGCCCAGAGCCTTGCAGGTCCAACCCCTCCCCCAGTGTGTCTGGAAGGTGGGCCTTTGAGTCAAAGAAGATTATTCTAGAGCCTTAAGATTTAATGTTGTTTGTCCTATTGGGTTTTGGACTTGCTCCTTTTCCTTCCTATTTCTCCCTTTTGGAATGGGAATGTCTATCCTATTCCTGTCCTATCACTGCATTTTGGAAGCATCTAATTTGTCTGATTTCAAAGGCTCACAGCTGAAGAGAAATTTGCCTCAGAATGAATCCTAGGACGAATCTAATTTAGATGATATCTAGATGAGACTTCGGACTTTATACTTTTGCATTGATGCTAGAAGTTAAGACTTAACTAGAGTTAAGACTTTTGGAGTCATTATGATGAAATGAATGTATTTTGCATGTAAGGCATGTAAGATATGAATTTTGGGGCCCAGGGGCAAAATTTTATGGTCTGAATGTTTGTGTCCCTCCAAATTCATGCTGAAACCCACTGTGGTGGTAATAAGAGCTGGGGCCTTTAGGAGGGGATTAGGTCATGAGGGCTCCACTCTCATGAATGGGATTAGTACTCTTATAAAAGATGGTCCAGGGAGCAGCCTTCCACCCTCTTCCACCACAAAAGGATGCAGCAAGAAGGTACTGTCTATGGAGGAACAGGCCTTCACCAGATACTATGAAAAATAAATTTCTCTTCTTTATAAATTGTCTAGTCTAAGATATAATGTTAAAGCAGCCTGAAGTGACTAAGACAGACAGGTATACATCTTGTATTCTGCCTTATTCACATATATTCCATGTATTTTCTCTTGTTTCCATATAGTCTTGATTACTTCAAAGGGCTGGATAATTAGCTGTTCTGATACAATTTATCAAGCCCTACCCTTTGGAAAACTATTTAAACCATTCCAATATTGCGTATTAAAAATAACACTAGTCAATAACTTTATACATAAAAGGGCTTTTTGCTTATGTCAAACTACAATCTAGGATATACTGCTAAATGAATCAATAAAATTCTCTGAAATGCCATAACTGAGTCTAAATAGTTTGAACATTTCCATAGGTCTTGCTCTTGCAAAGGACAGACTGCTTGCAAAGGGCTCTGTAATTCACAGGATCATCAGAAGTGCATTCATTACTATGCTACCAGGAAAGGTGTTAATTTGTTTTTGCCAACTTAAAACAAAGTTTCACCTTGAAAAGAAAAACCCCCACAACAGTTGGTCTGAAAATCGAGGCAAGCAGCGAAGCGGCTCCAGCACACTTACTGGGGATCTCCAGGCTGGGGTGGATGGCAGCCACACTCCTGACCATGGGCGGGGAATGGCGTCCGTCCACCAAGTCGGACTCTGCATCCTGCGCTTCTCCATGAATCACGGCGATTCCCAGGCGCAGGCGCTCAGCAAAAGACTGTGCCCTAAGGGAAAGCACCAGACGCAAACTCAAAAACCATGCAAACCTGTTTTCTCCTCATGTCCAGGGGAGAAAACATTAAGAGAACATAAGTAAAATGTAGTTTCCCAAAGTAATAAGGAAGAAAAGAGAATAAAACAGCCTCAGACTCAGAATCCAGGACTAACTGTGGAGACCCCACACGCCAAATGCTTCTCTCTGGCCACTGCACCAACGACGGGCAGTGGCCTGGCCTGGTCTGCAAGCAGCTGGCTGGGAGAGCCCAAGTGAGCCAGTTACCCGCCTCTCAGCCTCCTCACTGATAACTGCTAATTCCACCTACCTACTTACCCACTTGTGAGAACCAACCACATGGGACAAAGTGCATTAAATAGCCATCAAAGTATTAAGCACCAATTTTTTAACAACTTTATAGAGGTATAATTGAAATGCAAGAAACGGTACATATTTAAAGAATACAATTTCATAAGTTCTGATGTGTGTATCTGCCCACATACACATTAACACAATCAAGACAAGAAACACATCTATCATCACCAAATGTCTCCTTGTACCCCTCCACTGTTTGTCCTTCTAGCCCCAGGCAACCACTGATCTGCTTTCTGTCACCATAGTTTCACCTTTTCTAGAATTTCATGTAAGTTACTAGAACCACACAGTGTGTAGTCTTTTTTTGTCTGTCTTATTTTACTCAGCATAATGTTTTGGAGATTCATCCATGCTATGCCATATATCAATAGTTTGATCCTTTTCACTGCTAAGTAATATTCCACTGTATGAACATATCACAGTTTATCCATTTTCTTATTGATGGACTTCTGGGGTGTTTCCAGCTTTTAGCTGTCACAAATAAAGCTGCTGTGAACATTCACACACAGATCTCTGTATGAGCATACACTTTCTTTTCTCTTGGTAAATACCTAAGAGTGAAATTGCTGGATCACACAGTAGGTATACATAATATAACACCTTAAGAAAAGGCCAAACTGTTTTCCAAAGTAGTTATACCATATTACACATTTTCATGAGCAGTGCATGAATGGTCCAGTTCCTCCACATTTTCACCAACCCTTGGCATAGTCAATCATTTAAAAAAATGCATTCTAAGGGTGTGCAGTAGCACTTCATGGTGGTTTTCATTTGGATTTCTCCAATGACAAATGGTATTTTGAACATCTTGTCATGTGCTTATTTGCTATCCATATATACCCTTTGGGAAAGAGTCTGTTTATCTTTTGCCAATTTTTTTTTGAGATAAGGTCTTACTCAGTTGCCTAGGCTGGCTGGAATAGAGTGGGATGATCCCAGCTCACTGTAACTTCTGGGCTCAGGTGATCCTCCTGTCTCAGCCTCCCAAGTAGCTAGGACTACAGACACATGCCACCACACCGAGCTATTAAAAAAAATTTTTTTATAGACATGAGGTCTTGTTATGCTGTTCAGGCTGGTCTTGAACTCCTGGCCTAAGGTGATCCTCCCACTTCAGCTCCTCAAAGTGTTGGGATTACAGGTGTGAGCCATTGCATCTGGCCTCTTTTGCCTATTTTTAAATTGGATTAGTTCCTTGATTAAGTTTTGGAAATTCTTTATATATTCTGAGCACAAGTCTTTTATCATATATATCCTTTACAAATATTTTCTTCCGGCCGGGCGCGGTGGCTCACGCCTGTAATCCTAGCTCTCTGGGAGGCCGAGGTGGGCGGATTGCTCAAGGTCGGGAGTTCGAAACCAGCCTGAGCAACAGCAAGACCCCGTCTCTACTATAAATAGAAAGAAACTAATTGGCCAACTAATATATAGAGAAAAAATTAGCCGGGCATGGTAGCGCATGCCTGTAGTCCCAGCTACTTGGGAGGCTGAGACAGAAGGATGGCTTGAGCCCAGGAGTTTGAAAGGTTGCTGTGAGCTAGGCTGACGCCACGGCACTCACTCTAGCCTAGGCAACAAAGCGAGACTTTGTCTCAAAAAAAAAAATTTTTTTTCTTCCAATCTATGCCTTTTCCTCTCATTTTCATAATAATGCCTTTTGAAAAGCAGTATTTAATTCTGACGAAGTACATCTTACCCATTTTTTCTCTTATGAGGTGTGTCTTTGGTGTCATATTTAAGAAGTCTTTGCCTAACCAAAGTCACAAAGATTTTTCCCTATGTTTTCCTCTATAAGTTTTTTTGTTTTTAGAGACAAAGTTTCACTCTGTCACCTAGGCTAGAGTGCAGAAGCACAATCATAGCTCACTGCAACCTCGAACTCCTAGGCTCGAGTGATACTTCTTGCCTTAGCCTCCTGAGTAGCTGGGATTACAAGTGTATGCCACCATGCCCGGCTAATTTATTTTTTGTAGAGATGGGATCTCACTATGTTGCCTATGCTAGTCATGAATTCCTGGCCTCAAGCCAGCCTCCTGCCTCGGCTTCCCAAAGTGCTAGAATTACAGGCATGAACCATGGCCCCCTCTAGAAGTTTTAAAGTTTTATGCTATCCACTTAGGTCTATGATTCATTTTGAGTTGATTTTTGTGTGTGCTGCAAGGTATGGCTCAAAATTCATTATTCTACACATGAACATCCAATTATTCTGTTTTTCAACCATTTGTTGAAAGACAAGCCTTTCTCCATTTAATTGCATTTGCACCTTTGTTAAAAATCAGTTCTCCAGATATATGTGGGTCTATTTTTGGACTCTCTATTCTGTTCCACTTATCTATTTTTGTATCTTTATCCCAATACCACATTATCATGATTGTTGTAGCTTTATAATAAGTCTTGAATACAAGCAGTGTTAGATCTCCAACTTGTTCCTTTTTAAAGTTGTTTTGGCTATTCTAGGTTCTTTCCATTTCCATGTGAATTTTAGAATCAACTTATCCATTTCTACAAAAGAGCCTGCTGAAATTTTGATTGGTATGGTCTCAATTCTATAGACCAATTTGGGAAGAAATAACATCTTAACAATATGACTCTTTCAACCCACGATTACAGTATCTCTCTCTCCATTAATGTTGGTCTTCTTTAATTTCTTTCAGCAATGTTTTCTAGTTTTCAGTGTACAGGTCTTACACGTCTTTTCTCAGATTTATTCCTAAGGGTATCACTTACTTTGAGGCTATTTGAATGGCTTTATTTTTCATTTCAATAAATGTTCATGTCTAGTATACAGAAATAAAAATTAATTTTTGTATATTAATCTTATATCCTGCAACCTTGCTAAACTGATTAGTCATAATAGCATTTTTATAGATTCTTGTTTTTTTACTGACTACTCATTCATCAGTCACATACATTTTTATAGATTCTGTTTTTCAAGTGATCATGCCATATGCAAATGAGATGTTTTATCTCTTCCTTTCTATACTAGATTGCTTTTCTTTTTTTTAAATTGCACCATCTAGAACCTCTAATACAATGTTGAATAGAAGCAAGAAGAGCCTCATCTTGCTCCCGATCTTACGGGAAAGGAAATCAGTCTTTCACCATTAAATGTGATATTAGCTGTAAGTTTTTCATAGATCCCTTTATCAGATGAGGAAGTTCTTGCCAATTCCTACTTTGCTTAAAGTTTTGCCAGGAATAGAAGTTTGATTTTGCCTAAAGCTTTTTGAATCTACTGAGATGATATAGCTTTTCTTTTTTAGTTTATTAATATGAATTACATTTATTGATTAAACCAGCTGGGCATAGCGGCTCACACCTATAATCCTATAACCCTGGGAGGCCAAGGCGGGAGGATTGCTTGAGGTTAGGAGTTTGAGAACAGACTAAGCAAGACCCAGTCTCTACCAAAATATAGAAAAATTAGCTGGTCATGGTGGCACGTGCCTGTAGTCTCAGCTACTTGGAAGGATGATGCAAGAGGATTGCTTGAGCTCAGGAGTTTGAGGTTGTAATGAGCTGTGATGATGTCACTACACTCTAGCCAGGGCAACAGACCGAGACTCTGTCTCAAATAAAAAAGTTAAACCAACCTTGCATTCCTGGGATAAACCCCCAAATAATCATGATATATTATCCTTTTACATATTGTTGGATTCAGTTCACTAAAATTTTGTTTAGAGCATTTATATCTATGTTCATGAGAGATACTGGTCTGTAGTTTTCTTATATGTCTGTGTCTAGTTTTGCTATCAGGGTATAATCACTCATGGAATGAGTTGGAAAGTATTTGTTCTTTAATTTCTGGAAAAGCTCATGTAGAATTAGCATTATTTCATTCTCAAATGTTTGGCAGAATTCACCATTGAAATCTGGGCCTGAGAATTTTCTTTATGGGAAAATTTTCAATTTAATTTCTTCAATAGATATAAGTCTATTCAGATTATCTAGTTCTTGAGTAGGTTTTGAGAGTTCGTGCTTTTCAAAGAAGTTACTGGCATAATGTTGTTATAATAGTCCCTCATTATCCTTTCAACATCTGTAGAATTTGTGGTGATGCTACCTGTTCTTTCCTAATATTGGTAATTTGTGTCTTTTGTTCCTGACCAGTCTGGATACAGGTTTATTAATTTTACTGATTTCCTCAAAGAACAAACTCTTAGCTTTCATTGCTTTTCTCCACTGTTTTTTGTTTTCTATTTCATTGATTTATGCTTTAATCTTTATTATTTCCTTTCGTATGCTTACTTTGGTTTTACTTTGCTTTGCTTTTTCTAATGTCTTAAGGTGGAAGCTGAGATCATTGATTTGAAATCTTCTTTTCTAATAAAAGTACACAGACTGCAGCTTAAGTATTGTTTTAGTGGCATGCTACAAATTTTAATGTGTTATGTTTTCATTTTCATTCAGTCCTAAATACTTTCTAATTTTCCTTTTGATTTCTTCTTTGACCCTGGTTTACCTAGAAGTATATTTAGTTACTAAATATGTAGGACTTTACCAAAGATACTTCTATTATTAGAATTATTCTTAATTCCAGTGTGGTCAAAGAACATATTTTGTATGGCTTGAATAATTTTAAATTTAAGGCTTATTTTGTGGCCCAGAATATGTTCTACCTTAATAAATGTGTTT